CTTGGAGACGGTGAGAATGACAACCATGTTAAGCACGATCTGCATACCTGATGACTATTTTATTTTATCTCGAGATTTGATTTGATATATGAGTGTTGGGATGTTTATTTATTGATTGATTTTGCTTGTTGTTTTTTATAGTTGGACGTTGTAGTCCGTGGCAACCGTCAAAGTCAAACCCATTGACTTCCCTCCAGGCCCTTAATGATAGAGCTAGTCTCCAGGGCGATAAGAGACGATTGCCACCACAGGTATGAACCTGTGTTCCACCCACTCTCCGCAGGGTGCAGAAGAGGGTGTGGCTTTCAACCGCACTTGGCGGTTGTCCAACGTCGAGAGATCAATCCCTCAAGGCGCGCGTCAGTCGACACTTGGGTGTCGAATGGAACCCTTGAGATTAACGAGGAGTGTGTGTGTGTGTGAGAGAGAGAGAGAGAGAGAGAGAGAGAGAGAGATTCGTTCGACCTCAGCACGCGTCCACGATGGATGGTTTTGGTGGCGCGTGCTAATGTAGAAGGTATCCCATCCGAGACTTGGACAAATCTGACCGCAATCACGTTCAGAGCTTAGTAGAAAAAGTCCGAGTGTGGTCAGATTCGTAGTCTAGGCGTAAGTGCCATCAGATACATTTCTGGAAGTGCTAGTGCTAGGCCTCAGGTAAAAGCACATACCGTATCCCAGGAACCTTTCTTTTATTTTTTTGGAGAATCTCTGGATAAATGAGATTGAATCCTCTGCATGAACATGGAAAGATACATTGCCATAACTGTCTTGTGTACATGTCGAGAGTAGTGCAGCGAGGCCATTGGTGAATAGTCCCGTTGAGGTACTGACAGATTGGACGCGCGGGGCTTCGCTCCACCGCTCACCGCGTGATCAAAAGAGAAAACCGAAGGTGATGCATCTTTTCATGTTCTAGCTGAAAATTCATTCTCTTTTCTCACAGTTGGTGCCTCTTTTGAGGGATCCGGGCGACAGTAAGTCATTCTGATTTTCTTCCTTTACGTTCTTTTCTTTTTATTATTAGCAAAAAGCTCCAGGAGAAACGATTGTCAGTTCTATCGTTTTTTACTTTAGAAGTAATAAGAAGCGAACGTTCTGAGAGATCGCGACCCTCATCATGACTGAGTTTGGCCTGCAAGAACCCTGCCATACAGACTGCAAGAACCCTACCATACACACACAGTATTACACGGACTACAAGTTTTACTAAAAGCGTTCAGGCCAATGCGTGGCCTCCAAAAAAAAATTGGCTGCCCGTTTCTTATTTTATGCGAGCAGGGGGCCGGTTCTACTACACCCCCTCACAACTTTTTTTTCTTCTTTTTTCGACCCCCGTTTTTAGAGGTGCGCCGCCACATGCAGTGCGTGCGCATCGTGCGTGATGCATGGTGCGACGCACGTGCGCGGTGCAGCGCATCGTGATGCGCCGCATATATGGTCTCTAATGTAGGCTTGGAAAGATTTATGTTGCATGATGGATGTATTGAGTTTATAGCACCCAGAGCCTTGGTCAGGTTTCTTGCGGAATGACATAATTATCGTGCACATTTTGTGATAAAGTCCTGGGTCCGGACTCGCAGGGAGGATCCCTGCCAAAAGCAGCGAGCCCCCCATGTTTTCAGGGATTAAGATCAGGTCTATTCTGGATCTGGACCTGTTTTCGGTCCCGACTTTCCTTAGGCATGAGTAATATCCTATGTCGGGGTTATTCATGCGGAAGGAATCAAAAACATTTAATGAGAGAAAAATCTCGGATCATCCGTTCGTCCTCCTCCACATATGACGGTATCTTCCATCTGTCCATCCATCTATCCCGGGCTGCGTTACAATCGCCAGCCATGATAACTGGGACACTCGGCAAGGATTTGTGTCTTCAAGTTTTCAAAGAACACCCTTCTCCCCCCAAATGTATTAGGGGCATAGACGCACTGGATGCGAAGTATTTCTAGTTCCAATGTAACTAGAACTGACGCCCATCTGCCGCCTTCCTGGTCCACCACCCAGTGTACCGGTTCTGCGCGGGATTTCGGGGGAATCCAAATGGCCTCCCCCGCTCTACTAGGTTTCGGAGCTTGCGCTCTGAATGCCTTATGTGGCCACAGCGTCTTATGGATGCGGTTATGTTCTGGGGTGTCCATGAGGTGTGTCTCTTGAATGCATACTATATCCGGCCAGTTCCTACCCCCCACCCCTCTCATTAGGTCCCGTATTGCAGTCTACTTATCTATTTTGCACGAAGCCAGGCCGTTCACATTCAAGGATCGTAAATCCAAGTCTGCAGCTCGTTGGCATTGGTTTCAAATTTTGTCCTTTCCATACACCGCCTTGACCGGGTCCATTGTGTAGGGGTTCTCATGTTCCTAGACAAACCCACGACAGTCGGTCCCAGTCCCACACTGTTTCCCCTGCCCGGAGACCCAGCCTGAGGATGGCACATAAACATGCCTAGACATCCTGAGGATGGCACATAAACATATCCAGATATTGTTGGACTTTAGCTTGACTGTCTGCAGGTCCAAAAGTTGGGGATGAGAATACCACTTCAGGCCTGCGTCTGTGTCCGGGTCGTAGTGGATATAGACATCTCTAGATGATTCTGTCGGGCCCCGATACCATAGATGTTGTGGCCTGTGCCCCTGGCGGCAGAGAGTCCACAATGTGTGATTCCAATTGCATCTGAAGGATCCTTGCCACTGCCTCAGATAGGCAATTCCGCGGTTCTGCCCAGAAAGAGGACCAGCCTTGTAAATTGGCGCCCTCTTGCCTTCCGTTTCTTGATGGAGACAAACCCCTCTCCCATCTCCCATTTCTTTTACGTATCAGTAATGACGCTGTCTGGGAGAGAGGGTCCTTGTCATGCCCTTGTTCAATGACGTGTCTAAGCTTTCCTCTGCGCACCAGATCCAAAGGCATATCCTCCTCCGGATCCGGAGGTGCTGGGTCAGGGGGCGGAATTGTCTCCTCTGTTTTTGCTCACCTTGGGATGGCCCATTTACGGTAGCTGATTGAGGTGGCGGGAAACGAGAAAAAACTATAGAGGCCAGTCTGCGCCACACGGCCGTCCAGCTCACACCCGTTGGAAGTCCATTTTCTACTACACTCCTCAGAGAGGGACTTGTATCAAGCACGGGGAACACATCCAATTACGTTTGATCCCAAAAGTCGTCTGTGAGGGGGCCATATTCAGCCTTCAGGTTGGCCATCAACCAGTCTGCTATAGCAACTAGCTTCTGTTCAATCGTACGGTCCTGAGGCGGTGCCCCCTCCCCCCGTGCCTCCTCCTCCTGTTTCGGGGATAGCCCCTCTGGCGATGCAGTGGTGCTTTCCAGGAGGGGTCGACCTCCATCGACTCAGGGACAAAAGCTGTTTGAAAGGGGTTGGCCACAGCCGCTGTTATATGATTGGACTGTGACTTCGCTGTTGTTGTTTTCATTGCGTGTCGATTCTCCCCTTCCTGAGACCGATCGGGTTTCCCCCTCCATTTCCATCCTTCGGGTCTGCGTCTCCTCCTATCCCGTGACTTCCACACCCAACCTCCGGGTCTGCATCTCCTGTCTCAATGGATCTTTCAACATCTTGTTGGCACTGGCTGACCCCCCTTCTTGATCCTCTCAGCAACCCGCCACTCCCTCGTGCTCCACCAACTGTGTGTGTCCCAGTGGGAAGGGCGTTCCCAGGTCCAAGATATATTGCTTTACCGTCGGGACCTGGCCCCCACCGTCGCTTTTTTTCGGGACGTGCCATTTGTTCTCCAGCATATGTGCCTGTCCTGGCAGGTCCCCTCCCGAGCGCCCTCCGTGTGCCAACTGCTTCTTCTGAACCTAGGTCTCCTTATCACTTTTCCTTCCCACTGTTTTCCACTCTGCATTTTCTCGATTCTCCTGTGGGTTTGACTCTACCACCTACATCTTCTCCTCCACTTTCTCCTCCACCGATGCAGGAGGGACCCATGTGTTCGGGGGCCACGACTCCCAGTCCGGCTCCCTTGATTTTTCCCACACCCACCCCACTAGTGCTCCGTCCTTTGTTGGGTCCTCGACATATACCCATCCCTCATGACCCGGCTCAACCGCACGCCATTGGGTTACTTTGATAGGGTCTCTTAGTAGCCTCCCAGTTGGCCAGGCCGGTTTGTGCGGGTGGAGCGGGCAGATATACTCCATACTTAGATGGCCGTATGCGTTGCATTTATGACACCATGGCCGCATCTTATGAGCAGTGTGAATCATGTATTCTTTACCCCTATTTGGTACGGAATCATGTCATCTAGGGAGAAAGGCTGGCCTTGAGGAAAATCCAAGGCCGGCATCAGGTAATCATCCCTTTTGGCGACGAAGGAGGGGAGGGGGTCAATAAAGGCGATGATATCGTACATCATCCCAAGGTCGTACACGAAGGCCGCCTGGATTTCGACTGGGATATGGCGAAGCTCTACCCAGTAGTAATCCTGCATCAGTTGTGCCCTCCTCTCCTCCGGTCCTAATCGGCGTTGTGGCACCCATGCATGTATCCGGACTTCTGCCCGCTCGCAGCGTAACGGGTTGAATCAAAAATTGGTCCCTGGCTTTGGGGGTTTCCTTTGAGGGTTTCTAGTCGCCGACCAATCCACTTGGCTTTATCATTGGCCGACTTGAAGGCGGCATCATCATGAAACACCCAGTTACTGGCGTGTTTCATGTAAATTTCGTCTCTACTGGCAGCGCCGCTGCTCGGAAGGGTTTTAACCATGACCTTCTTCCCCCTTGTGTCACCACCTTAGTTTCTGACGGAATCAGGAATTTGGACACGAAAGAGGCTCGGGCCGGTTGTAACCCATCCAGAGGGATGTCCAGGTTCCCGGTCCGCGGCCCATCCTGCCCCCGATGGATGGTGAGTGTCGGACCTTTGAACGGGTCCTTGAGTTTGTTTGCCTAGGTGGATTGTTCCAGGTGTTTATCCTGATCCCTGGGTGGAGGGGGGGCTGTTGCCTGACGATGTTTTGTGCCTCATGTCTGCAGTTCCTTCTCCTCCTCCTTGAGGACCCCTTTGTCGTCGTTCTGCATAGTGTGGTTCTGGTGGGACCATCTCATGTGGCGAAGGTGCTGGCCAGCCAGGTGTCTCATTGCCCCATTGTGGAAGCGCATCGTACGTTTATGCGCACGCTGCTCCCTGTTCAACATTCTCATGGTGGCAGTTTTCTCGTGGCTGAGTTTGTTTGTTTGTTTATTTTTCAGATCCTATTTTTGTTTGCTTGTTCCTTTCTTCTTAGCTTCTTCTTTGTTTCGTTTCTTAGTTTCTTCTCGTTTCTTCTTCGTTTCTTCTTCGTTTCGTCCTCGTTTCTTCTTCGTCCCAAGTCTGTGTCGTTCTCTGTCAATTATTCCCAGGGTAGGATATAACCCGGGGTTGGCTGGGCCGAACACTCCCTATCGCATTGCCCAACAGTTTTTCCCTCCCTCTCCCCATCCGTCTTTGTTTCAAGAGAAGGAATTTACTGACGGTGACTGCAGCGTCTCGAGACCTGCATTTCACCTCCCTCCCCCCTTCTGTCCGTGCTTCCCTCCCGCCAACTTTCGCTACGAGAACAACCGCCCACCTCTTCGTGAGGCGCTTACATCCCGATCGATGCTGCGCCGCAAACCTTGCCATTCACCTACACAGGGCATCACCCTTCTTGGGCTGGTGAGAGCTGACGATGCATCGTCTCGAGACCTAATCTTCACACCCCTCCCTCCCTCGTTCTGTTCGTAGCCTTTCACACTCTCTCTCCATGTTTGCACGGATTGCTTGTCTTGCCCCCCAGTCCCCCACCCCACCCACAGGTCCGACACATCATGCCCAAGGATGCCTTACCACTCATCTCATCCCGTTCAAAGCCGTGTTACGAACTCCGCGTTCCCCTTCCCTCTCTCTTCTGTTCGTAACCACTCACACGTACCTTGTCCCCGTTGTCCTCGTCACCTGCTGTCCTTGATCTAACTGCGCCTTCTCTCCGTTGTCCTCATCACTGAAACCATCTCCACGCTGAGATCGAACGTGAATCCGCCATGGCTGTGTGCACGCCTGTTCTGGTCCCTGCTGCTTCGCGTCAAGTCGATCGCCGTTGGTCAGCTATGGTGGCTGTTCACCTCGTCGTCTCCGGCGCGATTTCTCCACTCAGCCCCGCCCGCTGCCCACAATTCTTGCTGTACTGTATCCCCGTTGTCCTCATCACCCACTATCCTTTATCTATGCTGTAGCTTTCGTTGTCATCGTTACTGAAAACTCCTCCACGCCGAGTTCGATCGCGAATTATAGCCTACTCCGTTCGGAGTCCGCACACGTCCTATTCGCCTTTTCCGGTCCCTGCTGTATCTCTCTGTTGCGGTTTATCTTCCTATGTTCTTGTGGAAGACTCCTCATTTTGCACATTGGCAGGCTCCTCAGTTGATGCACACATGAAACTTTTGAATTGCAGATGTGAGTTCAATAAAATAGTTCTGGTTTACGAAGGATCCTATGGTGTGTTGATGCCTTGACGATGCCCCCCCGAATGCTTTGCGTCCCTCATGTTCTAAAACAAATGCCCTCGATCTAGCCCGGGCCAGATAATGGCCGTGCCTGTTGTGGGGCTGGCGCTGGGCCGCGGCTTTGCTGCGTTGGGTTCAATTGTTCTTATAAATGCCACTTATCTTATTACTTATTGGAGTGGTTTTGAGCACTTGAAAGCGATATGATGCTTTGGCAACCTTCTCTATTTCATTTTATGAAAGTGTTCTTTTTCTTTTCCTTTTACTGGGGTTCACAATAATGGATTGTCACCATGCAGGTAATTGTGTACAGGCAGCCAAGGTATCAGAGACATCACTACTCTGCACAACGGAAATGGAATCCATTTTGCAGCTGGAGTAACAAAGGACTCGATGATGTGGATAACCAGAAGCAGCGACAGGAGCAGGGACGGTCTGGCAAACATAGCTTGCCCAAAAAAATGCCTGAATGGCTAGCTGAGCGAGAACGAAATGGGCCGATTCAGGGAATTCAAATGGTATGGCTGTCTACATCCTCCCTGCACCCGTCCCCCTGTGTGTCTGTGCTGACCATATGAAATTTCCTCAAGGTGTGTGTGTGTGTGTGTGTGTGTGCGCGCGCGTGTGTTTGTGTGCGTGTGTGCTGGCCATACAAAAGCTTCCTCAAGTTTTGGGTGTGTGTGTGTGTGCCATGTGAAAGCTTTCTCAGGTTGTGTGTGTGTGTGCGTGTGTATGTGCGCACATGACTGTGCCATGTGAAAGCTTCATGTTTTATGTGTGTGCGCCCTGTGTGTGCCATGTGAAAGGTTCAAGGTGTACTTGTGTGTGTGTGTGTGTGTGTGTGTGTGTTAGTCATATAAAACCCTCCCCGAGTAGACGCTGCTGTAAGTGAGGAAGATGTGAGGCATTGGCTTATTGGGAAGTGTAACTGTGAAAACAACAGCTTCCATGAGCCAGTACATTACAGACCGTGTGCTGCTGTTTTACTGCAGTTGTTGCATTCTGCAAGGAAAATGAGGGATAGCGAAATGATAGAAATCCAGAATGCAAAATCACATTGGAAGCCAGCAAGTCCAACGCTGTCCAGAAAGCAGAAATGCACTGATATTCCACCAACGGAGAACCAAAGCACTGAATCTGAATGTCAATGAGAGCATACTCTCGTCACCACCAACATATGTATCCAGAGTGCTTCCTCATACTTGGCGCTCAGCGCCCAGACTACTATCACACAGCCTACTAGCAGCCTATGAATTGACAATGCATCCAGGTGACGTCAGCAGCAGAACCGAAGTACGTGAAGATGTCGACCCTTGTAGACCATCGCCAAGACCAGGTGTGTGCCCTCACATCATCAACCTCGTCTCTCTCTTTCTCTCTCACTTGACTTTCTCACCTGCATCTTCACCCTAATGACTTTCTCAGCAGCGCCCTGCACCCTGCACACCCGCGCCTGCACACAGCGCCAGCGCTAGTGCAGCAAGCAGCCCACGAGCTATCGCTCCAGCAGCGCTGCCGTCTGCAATTGCAAGTGCCCGACCTCCTCGACTGGAGCCCAGTCCTTTCCCATGTGCTTCCCATGTGAGACCAAGTTTCCAGTAGCTTCAGTCTCGCCCAAAGTGTCTGCGCCCAGACCCATTCAGACAGTGGCCTGGGACCGAATTGGTTAGGCTTGCCTAACCGCTCGAGCACAAACGTGTGGTGCTCCCTGCTGGAAGAGCCTGGAAGGCTCACGGATATTTTGGATTCTGACGAGCAAATGGCGGATGTAACCAACTGGCGAGTGACAGAGCCAGACACGCGTCTGCTCCAAGGCCCTAGCCAAGGGGTAAACCCTCGCACTCCCTCCTCCTTTACTTCGATAGTCCTCTGAGAAGTCATTACACAGCAGGCTGGTTCGCTTTCAAATTTCGTTCATAACTTGAGATAATGTAGGGAGCAGTCTTTATTAACTCGTCTCTTGTGAACCACCGATCTTCTTCAGGATCACTATGATGTCGGAACCGCACTCGATACTGCATCTGCGGTTTTGGAGGTCGTCCCCTGCCTGGAGGCTTGGGCACAGGCATCAGTTTGTGATCGACGATATCGTCAATGTCCACGTGTCCGTCCATGGTTGGGGGCAGCATCGATCTTCTTGAGGGAAACTGTTCAGTTTCAGCGAAGGGTGCCAACTTAGATGCATGGAAAACAGGGTGTGGACGGAGGTGACCAGGAATGTGAATAACATATGATGGACTATCGGGTAGATCTCTTACTATGTCTACAATTTCCCAAGGTCCAAAGTACTGTGGCATCAGTTGTGTGGTATTCCCAACCCCTGTCCCAACTCAGACGGCTCTACCCAGACTCGTTCACCTACCTGAAATGCAGACAGTCGTCTGTGTCTGTTCTCAGATGCAACCATGGCATCTTGAGCTTTCTTGATGTGCTCTACAGTCTGCTGAAGCATCTGTTCATACTTGATAGCAAATTCTATGCTCCCAAGTGCTGCGGTTGACTGGTTTTCAGGCAACAGGAAGTCAAGAGCAGATCTAGGCTTCCAACCAAGCTGGTTGGGTGTTGCATACTGTAACGGTGCAGACCAGAACAAGAACTGACCTCTCAATACAAAGTACAAGATAGCGTAGCGGAAGACTTAGATACCAATGATCCGAACAATCAATATTGCAATGCAGCCCTGAACATACATTGTTCCATGGTGTGAAAGGGGTCTGGCGCTTCACACAGGAAGACTGCGCCAGCCCCAACCATACACAGACGAAGAAGAAGGGGGTTAGATGAAGAGGAGGGGAAGATGGGAATGTCGTCAACACCAAGTGTTTCGCACAGGGCCCAAATAGTCCCTCCTCAAAATGTCTGAATCCCAAATGTCGAGTCTGGATCCAATGTTGTCAAGTCTCAAGTCACAACTCTCTCTCTCTCTGTTGTAGTCTGCTGATCCTGAGAACCAGGTGGTGAGATGGTGAGAAGAGATGGTGGACTTAGAAGAGGAAGAAGAAGAACTCTCTTTCTCTCTGTGTCCAGTACTAACCTGTGAAGTTGGCGCCTTGATGCAGGTACCTCGAAGATGGAGCTGGAGCTATGGCGCCACAGGTAAGTACCGCTGGCCTCCGCCAGCCATCTCCCTCCAACGCTACCACTAGCAGCTACTAGCGCCCTGCGCTGAAGACTACTGCTACAGCAATGAGCGCCCAGCGCTGAAGACTACTGGTAGCGCTAACTACTATTGCCAGAGCTCCTCCTGAGTGCTGCGGCTGAATCCTGAAGACTACTCCTGCCTACTGTGCAACTACCTACCCGTGAAGTGCATGGGAACTTCCTATGTACTACCGGGTGCCTCCTGACTGCAGGCGAGGCAGTCCAGGAGGCTGCTCTTGCCAATGCCGAAGGCAGTCAGGGGCTGCCGCTGCAGCTCCTGCTTGAGGCTGTCGTGGGGAACAGGCCAGAAATAGCCTGTTCCCAAAACCCTGTTTTTGTGCCTGAGTCTTAGGGTAGGTCGATCTTATGAGGGCCCGAAAGTGGCCCTCCGTTTCAGGCTGAAAAGCCTCAGGGCTGAAAAACCCTGTTTTAGGCTGAAACGACATAGGGCCTGCAGGCCCTCGTTTTTCAGTCTTTCAGGCTGAAACGACAGGGGTCTGTCAGCCCTTATTTCTAGGATTTTAGGCTGGAAATGCGGGACAGGCCCTGCAGGCCCGTGTGGCTACGCAGTATGCTACATTGGGGGTCTACCGATAGTGCTGTTTACAGCATTGTTGTACAGGCTGGCAATGAGAGGTAACTTCTCATCCCAGTCATCTTGACTTGGCTTAATTTAATGTCGAAGCAAGTGCTGCACTACCCGGTTCATCTGCTCAGCCTGCCCATTTGACTCAGGGTGGCTCCCCGATGTCATTTGCAGCCGGGTGCCCATCTGTTGGGCTGTACTTTGCCACAGTTCGCTTGTGAATCTGACATCCCTGTCACGCACAATGGACTTCGGGAGACTGAAGTCACGTACCCAGTCGTCCATGAATAGCTTGATGACGTGGTCAGGCCTAGCTGTTTCTGGCAGAGCGATTAGTCTATAGCATACTTAGTGAACCTGTCCACAATGATGAAGACGTGCCTGTTACCATTCTTGTTGGTCACAAGAGTATCCACGAAGTCCATGGACACACTCTGACCAGGTCCAGCAGGGACAGGCAAGGGATTAATAAGCCCAAGTGGTGCCTGCGTTCTTGGCTTGTCACGTTGACAAACGTGGCAAGTCTCTTCATACTTTTTCGTATCCTTTATCATTGTGGGCCACCAAAATTTTTGGACTAAATTTGCTGCTGTCTTTTTATAACCGAAGCCGGTTGCGTTGTGGCATTCACCTAAAAATAAACTACTCTATTCGGAATACGTAAGTGTGTATTCCCAGCCTTCTCAATGAACAACAAGCCTTCAACCAGCACAAACTCATCAGAAGTACCTTTGTCTTGAACTTCGAGTTTCCGGATGATCGCAGACATGATTGTGTCCTCTTGATAGGCTTCCACCATAGATTCGAGGTACATCATCACATATCCCAAACTCGGTCACTAGCGCGCCCAGATAGTCTTACGTGATAGTGCATCAGCCACTTTGTTATACTCTCCCTTGAGAGGGTAGAGCTTGAAGTCGTACATATCTACGACTTCAATCGACCTCTTAAGTGCGTCGCAGAGCACTGGCTGTGTCTTAATCCAGCGCAGCGTCTCATGGTCGGATCTCACATAAAAGAATCTGCCTAGGAGGTAGTGCCTCCAATCGACCAGCGCTCCATAGAGGGCATAAAGCTCATGCTCACGTACTCGATCGACCTCAACTTTCCCCCCTTCTTTTGCACAAGGACAGTGCCTATGACGTATTGGCTGGCGTATGTGGTCACAACAAAGGGTTGTTCAGGGTCCGGCAGTTTGAGGACTTCATAGTGTGTCAGGGCATACTTCAATCTCTTGAAGGATGCCTCACACTCTTTGGTCCACTCCCATGGGGTGTCAAGGCGAGTGAGGTCAGTTAGAGGGGAGGCTACAGTACTACAACTCTTGACAAACGGGCGGTAGTAGCCTCTCATCTAACTCCTCAAGGGACATCCTATAGATCCACACTCTAGGTACCTTGCGACCGGGCTTCTATCGCGTGGACAATCTTCCTTTCTACCACACTCCTAGGCTCTTCAAAAAGGTCTAAATATTGTGCAACGGCTGCTTCTATCACGAGGGGTGATTTTATGGCTCCGCCTTTTTTTCAAAGACAAAGACTAGGTACATTCCGTCCTCGCGGTTTTGCTTGTTGTAGTTATAGAAAGACGACGCGCACGTGCAACCACAACTCTTCACTAGTCTTCTAGCCTTTAACTTCTGCAGCCTAACGATCCTTCCATCTGGCAACTTGTGGATCATCACCTTCCCGTCCCAATCGAATTGAGGCTTAGCAACTTCGAGGTGGTACATGCCTAGGAACATGTCAAATGGCAGCTCGTCACTCACCAAGAACGAGCTGTTGTATCTCA